ACGTGACTGGAATCGTAATGTACGTTGATATGACCATTGATGTTTATCAGCTGATTTGTGTTACTAGTACAACATTATTGTTCTACTGAATTAACTGTAACTCAATTTTGCGTGTGTTTGCATTTCAAATATGATATCGTCCTGAACATGCATGAACTATTTGCTACTGGACGTTAAGCAACCATCAATCAATTACATATGATATAGTACTTACAATGTACTACTGGAAAATTTTCTATCTACCAAAACAGATGGTTTTATATATTCCACCAGAGACATATAAAAAAACACAGTCTCTGATTCAGATTCCACTCTTTGTAAAATAAAAAAATAACACTATAAACTTGGTGCGTTCGAAGAACTTTTTTGGTATTTATCGTCATCGGGAACGCTCAAATCCCAAATACTAAAAGCCATTGATCGTCGATCGTCAAAAAAGGGGGGGTTCCAACACCCGGACCCCCCCCCCCCCCCCCAGTCACAATGTGTAAAAAGTAAACAATTATAGGTCAAAGTACGGCCTTCAACACGGATCCTTGACTCACACAGAACAGCAAGCTATAAAGGGCCACAAAAAAAGACTAGTGTAAAACAATTCAAACAGGAAAGCCAACGGTCTAATCTATATAACACAACACCAACAAACGACAACCACTGAACAACAGGCTCCTGACTTAGGACAGGTGCATAAACATGCAGCGGGTTTGAACTAGTTTTTTGGCGCCAAACCCTCCCCTAACCTAGGACAGTGATGTAACAGTAAAACATACATGTAAGAACAATCTATTCAAAACAATAAACGAAAAACAAATATGAGAAACAGCAACAAAGACAACCACTCAATTACAGGCTCCTGACTTTGGACAGGCACATATATAGAATGTGGCGGGGCTAAACGTTTTAACAGGCGCCAACCTTCACTCTAACCTTAAACAGTGGTATAACATTACAACATAATGAGACACACAATAAAATGTCAATTGAAATGGCTTACATCGATCAAAAAGACGATACACAAAAACAAGTAAATATATATATAATTTCAGCACGTTTTAGGTTTTTAGTTTTATGGTTCTTGGGTATTTTGTAGTAAAGATATCACTTATGATCTTCTGTTTCGGAATACATGTTATACTAATATAAACAAGCATTCTGAGATTATTGCATGGCAATACATAGTCCCCTATAGGGTAAAAATTCATTATACTGGAACAAAATGCTAACTTGTTCTATAACTTGTCATGGTGTAAACAAAAAGTAAATATCATGTCAATATCTTCAAGCATGACTAAAAACAGTGAAAAAAAACTGATTATATGAGTGAATTTTTCAAGTCAAAGGACCATAACTCTGCACAAAATTATTAGACCGAAACAAAAATTTGAACTTGAATTGTAACTTGTCATGATAAAACTATATATACCAATTATCAATCAATATCTTACATTGTATAAGCATGATGAAAAAAATATTAGATATCATGATTAATAGTTCTTTAAAATTAGATATGATGTAATACAGTGTATATCTATTTTCAAATTATAATCAAATATAATTAATAGTTCCAAATATTTTTTTCTTTTTTTCTTTCATTTGTCACAAACTAATATAGATTTGTAACTTATCTATAAAATGTCAACAACTTTTATCTACACAATGTAATGTATTGAAATATATACATTAATCAAAAATAGATTATTACCTAATTAAAGGATTTCAGAATCTCTTCATAATTTTTGTCTCGCCTTGACGGAGTCAAAAAGCGAGACATAGGTATGCTGTTTCTAGCGTCGGCGACGACGGCGTCGTCAACAATGTATTAGTTTGTGATTAGGTCTAGTTCATGGTGAACGACTAGTGGTAGGTCAATGATATTTGGTATGCAGTTGTATTGGCATTGGCACATCTCATTACCATGGAGATTATTTAGCCCCGCCCCCTCGGTCAAGGTCTATGGACTTTGAAACTTTGCTTAGTTTACATGTATTAGTTTGTGATTAGGTCAGTTTATGGGGAACCATTAGTGGTAGGTTAATGAAATTTGGTATGCAGTTGTATAAGCATTGGCATATCTTCATTTCCATGGAGATTATTTGGCTCCGCCCCCTCATTTATGGTCTATTGACTTTGAAACTTTTGCTTAGTTTTCATGTATTAGTATGTGATTAAGTCAGTTTAGGGGAACCGTTAGTGGTAGGTCAATGATAATTGGTATGCAGTTGTATAAGCATTAACACATCTCATTTTCATGGAGAATATTTGGTCCTTACCCCTCAGTTATGGTCTATGGACTTTGAAACTTTTGCTTAAATTACATGTATAAGTTTGTGATTAGGTCAGTTTAAGATGAACCACTAATGTTAAGTCAATGATATTCGGTATGCAAATATATTGGCATTTGCAAGTTTCATTTCCATGGAGATAAATAACCCCACCCCCTCATTATGGTTCATTGACTTTGAAACTTTTACATAGTTTACAAGTTAATGTTTGTGTTTAGGTTTGTTTAAAGTTAACATGGCTAAGGGAAAGACTTATAATAAGTCAATGGTATTTGGTTTGCATTTGTATTGTCAGTGGCTTACAAAATGTATCTCATTTCCATCATGTGTCCATGGAGATTGTTTATCCCTGTACCTTCAGTCATGGGTCATTGACTTTGAATATTTGCATAACTTACATGTTAAAGTATTGCTATGTTAATTTCAACATTTGCATTATCAAAATAACAAATAGGTGAGACATATCTCTGTGTTAACAGTTTATTTTTCATATATATAGCATTCAGAAAATTAATTTATACTAAATAACAAACAAACCTGCCAAAAAAATTCTTCAAATAATTTAACAAAGAATGTCTTTTAAAAAATGAGTTATCTCCCTTTGTACAGAAATATGGTTTAACACAGTAGTCTAACATTAGATATGGTCCAGAGTTATGGTCCATAACTCTGGACTAAATCATCAGACCGGAACAAAATTCGAACTTGATCTATAACTTGTCATGATAAAACTATATACATGTACCAAATATCAAATCAATATCTTCAAGAACGAAGAAAAATAGTGTGGAAAGCTGATTTGCCGGACTGACGGATGGACAGAATGACAGACGGACGGAGTACAAACCTAAAGTCCCCTTCGACTTCGTCGGTAGGGGACTAATAAAGACTTTTTGACAAAAAATAAACCTCTAAAGGCTATTCACATCATACATGTACATGTCATAATTTTGAAATAAAGTACATGTTAAATATAATGTTGCTATCATAAGAAAAGGGACAGACATTTTGACAGAAACATGAGAAAATTTGTATACTAGCAACACGAACAATCCTGATATCTTCAGTATTTTCAAGGTTAAGATGTATATCTTGCTTGAAAATGAAAGACAAATTATATAAAATATTTTTTAACATTTTTACCAATAAAAAAGGAATCGTAATAGCTTTTTAAAAAGGATTATCTTGGATTTGCTAACATTAGCATGATATGATTTGACGATGTAGACAGAAATGAACATTGTTGCTAACATAAGATTTGACGGATTTTATTGTTGTTAACATAAGATTTGAAGGACTTTATTGTTGCTAACATAAGATTTGACAGTCTAAATAGTGTTGCTAACATATATTAATATTTTGACAGACTTGATGCTAACATAAGATAAATTTGATAGACAATATATTTGGGTGTTTTAACTAACATTGGAGATCTTATCCTAGTTGAAAGTCATTTTTAGAACTCCTGGAAAATACCGCAACCTGACATTTAACAAGGTTTCACCTCAGGACTGATAACTCTAATTTCATGAATTTGTAGCACATCCAAATGTTGCTAACATAAGCATGATAAGATCAAAAGTTTGACAGAACTTCTGTTAGCAACATATTGAAAAGACCGACCCTTGAAAATCCCCCCCCGACTGTGAAAACTTGATTGCTTTAAATTTTAAGAAATTATTTTTATAACTTCTATTGCCGAGAGATCCGGAAATTCAGGTCCTTTCCGGAATTGATTTAAGTCTAGGTCGATTACACGTATTAAGTTAGGTTTTTCTTGCCTTCCCGTCAAGCGTTCATGTGACCGTTTAATGATAAAGCACATGGAAATTGTTTACAGGTATCCATGAAGTTATGGAGGAGTACTTTACGCTGTCGACTTCTGTCAATTTTAAGACAAATAACAAACAAAAAAGTTGAATAGTAAACTGTTTATACAGATTCAGGCACATGGAATGATGTCTTTGATGATATCATTGAAGAAGATGCAGCGGATATTCACAACCGACACGATAACTCATCTTTGTCAACTTTCTGTCTCAAACAAATCGGGTACAGAATCTTTTGAGCCTGACTTTATGGAACCAATTTCAGTGGTTAAACAATTCGACAGCAGCTTGAAGTATGTCATATTTTCTATAAATCGTTGTGAAGAAAACAAAGATGAAACCACTCCTCCGTGAATATATGGATACCTGTAAACATGCCTGTACGGAGAAAGAGCTCATTTAAAATGTAAATGGATAGAGACCATGCCAAATCAATTAGAAGCAACCCAAACTACACAAAGATGTGGAGAAAATGAATGATTAGCTCGAAAAATAAATATACTCTTCTCTATATTAAATCTATCTTCGATTAATGCAATGAGTATGCTCCTTTATGATAAGGGGGGTTGCCCCACTCATTGCAATCATTCTCTTTCTTACAATATTAAATATACCCAAACTTTGTGGCCTGTCATTGTGTGAATTGAATTAAAACATGTTCTTAGAAGCTATGCTGCCAATTTTTTTAATGCAGTCAAAACATTTCAGTACAGACCATTTACTTTAATGGGGTGCTATGGATTTCACCCAAAACTAGTAAGTTTTCATTGGTTTTCATTTAAGCCTGGCATCAACATATCATTCAAAATATAATCTTATTACATATAATTAAATATTGTTAGAAATATGAAAACATCTTTTTTAAGTTGCCCTTTTTTTCAATTGAGGAAGATTCAATGGCTGATTTTTTTAATTTAAAATAAACTCTTTAACATGTTTATACATTGTCTTATAAATCTTTAATGTCTACATTTTTCTGATGAAAATACTCTACTCATGAAAACATTCTAGTCAAGAACATGAAGAAGCATATATGTCTGTGATATATTTCTTTAAAACAGTTCTAGTCATTCCTTGTTTATAAGTGTTTCAGTATTTAATAATACCATATTTTATGTCATAAATTGAATTAAAGTTTCAGTTTTATTTCAAAATTTGTTTTTTATTTGACAATGCCCGTTCATTTCATGTTGGTTTTCAGTGTTTGTTGTTTTAAAATAGGTTTTTTTTCTTAACAAGAAACTTGGTTTGTGTAACTGCTTGTTTAAACTTTTTGGCTGATAAAATAAAATATTTTTCCTACCTACCGACCCTTCAGTCTGAAGGTACAGTCGGGGAAACTGCAAACAAACATATTTTTAAGGTTGGCCTCACAGAAATGTCACACTAGACACAAACTTTATATTAGATCCTAGTAGCTTTATGATCTGTGCTTGTGGTTGTAAGTGTAAATGTACTGATGCTTGCTACACTATAGAATACATAACCAGGAAGCTATGCTTTGCTCTACACGGACTACGAACTCGTATAATCAAAGGCCTTCCACCTAGGCAATGTAAGGGTCTTTAATAGTAACCAACACTCATCCCACGAGGCGTACCTAGTATGTCTTTTTAGGTTTTATAAACACTTTATTCGACATTGTGCGAAGTGCTCCTTTGGAGGAGGGATTTCTAGCTGTCTAGAACAGAACAAAACAGTTGCTATCATAAGATTGGTAGACAAGCAGCTATAAAGCAAGGTATTTGAAATTGAAAAAATATCACAGATGTTTTTTTTTACTTAAAAAAGCAATAGATTTGGAAACAGGGATATTTGAATATAATCAGACTACACTAATAAAAACCATTATATCAGTGTCAATATAAAGCATTGTAACACATAAACCTTGTGTCAAAAAATGGGAAGTAATTCTGTCAAACATTTAGCATTTTTCAACTTGTTTTGATAATTTTTACTTTAAATGGAAACAATCATATCCAATAATTGGTTTTTCTACTTCATTTAACATTATTATTAATTAAAACATTCACAGATTATCATTCTAATGACAGTTAGTATAGTATTGTTTTTATTTATTTATTCATTTTGACAGACATTTCCTTTTCTTTTATGTAATCTGCCGTATAGGGTTTTTCAGCAGTGTGTATTATCGTGACTGATTCTGAATAAACGATTTACCACTTAAACCACATAAATAGGGTGTATCACACATGTGTAGTCTCGTGTGTCACTGTTTGGTACAATGAACGAGGTTGATCACCAATGTGTGTCTTCATGTGAGACTGTAAATTCTGACTCTGAAAAAACGATTTACCACATAATCCACATTTATAAGGTGAATCGCCAGTGTGTATCCTCCTGTGGCTTTGTATGGCACTAAACTGACCAAACTCTTTACTGCAAAGATCGCATTTATAAGGTTTATCACCTGTATGTATTCTCATATGAGTCTGCAATTGATGTTTAGTACTAAAGGCTTTACCACAGCCATCACATTTAAAAGGTGTATCACCTGTGTGTATGCTAGTGTGTCTCTGTAAGACACCACGCTGATTAAATGCTTTACCACATATATCACATTTATAAGGTTTGTCCCCAGTATGTGTTCTCATGTGTGTTTGTAAATGATTTTTAGAACCAAATCCTTTACCACATACATCACATGTATGGGGTTTTTCACCAGTGTGTACACGTGTGTGTCTCCTTAAGGAACAAAGTTGGCTAAACCCTTTACTGCATATATCACATATATAAGGTTTATCACCAGTGTGTATTCTCATGTGTATCTGTAAGCTCTGATTCTGACTAAATACTTTCCCACAAAAATCACATGTGTACGGTTTATTCCCAGTGTGCATTACCGTGTGCCTTTGTAAATTATGTTTCGAACTAAACACTTTAAGACATATGTCACATTTAATAGTCTGATCTTTAGTATGAGATGTCATATGTTCCTCTAACTTCACATTACAAGTACACACTTCACCACATACTTTACAAATATTTCCACGAAAGTGTTCCTGCATAAACTGACCTGTAATTTGTTCAAAGGAGAGAATCCTGGAAATAGCGGTATTTTCGTTGGAAGATAATTGAATTGTTTCTACACTATCTTGTTCGCTGTTCATGTTCTCGCTGACAATTTTAGTGGCCTGGAGTCTAATAAAAAGAAAAAGAAATCATGATAAAGCTGCATGTTCATAATATTATTAAAATATGGTTTATTTCATATCCATGTTACATGTACTTTCTAAATTCTGACCACCCTGCATTGCTCATACTGAAGTTTCATGCATTTCCCTCAGTGGTTGTTATTTATCTTCATCAAAATATTCAAATTAAAAAGAAAGTATGTCATGTACATAAAGTAGATAAAAAATAATGACAAAATAAACAAATAAGATGTTATTATGTATTACAATATATTGTTTCTTCAATATTAAATTCCCAAATGGGGTCTCACTAAAGCATCAAGAAGCGACAAAAGGAATAATTTAGGGACAAGAAAACTAATTTAGAGACAAGAAAATAAATTTAGCGTTAAGATATTTAAATAATGATTATTTGAAATTAATAGGTATAGAAATATGCATTAAAGTCTGTGTTTTTGTTTTAAATATACACGAATTTTAATTATTTGATGATATTTAGAGAAGAAAATAAACATTTGTTAATTTGTTCTAGAAGTAGGAATAGTGTTTTGTTATCAAGGATATGTTTATTTATATGTAGAGTCGGCTTGGTTGATATGTATACATGTATCAAAAGTTCAAACGAAGTTATAAGATAATCTCATCTTTATTTATTTCACTATATATATATATATATATATAGGATGGGACATGGGATTGTTAAAGAATATTCAGCTTGATACATGCTTTAAATAATGTAATAAAATAATTTTTACAAACATTCATTACAATATGAAAATAAGAAGATGTGGTATGATTGCCAATGAGACAACTATCAAATGACACACAAAATGAATGAAGTGGATGTAAGCAATTACATGAATTATAGGCAACTGTACGGCCTTCAATAAGACGTAGTGCTACTAAATACAACAAAATTTGAAACTTTATAATACAACAAATAATCAACTTTTTCTTTGACTTTTCTATAAATTCATTGTTTTAATAATATATAAAACTTTCTTGTCGTTAAATTTGTCTTTTGGTGGCTAATTTTTTTCTTCTTGTCGCTTCTTGCCGTCAATTGGTGAGACCGCTACAAATGTGTTAGTTAACATCAATATCATTTAAACTCTCATTGGCAATCATACCACATTTACTTATTTTAATATATTAGTTCATTACAGAGAATTTTGTCTCTGTGATCATAGTGATACATGTACATTTGTAACTTATGTTTATTATTTTGTTGATTAACCATTATTTGAAGATGTTTCGTTAAAAAGTCTCAAATACCCAAAGAATCTTCCCAGCATAATGTACAATGTACCATACACCTAATCGCTATTTATTCCATTCCGGATAAGTTCTAAAATTACACAACTTTTTCATCCAGTTGAAGCTATCTGGGGCCCTGTTTAAACAATGCACCATCCATGATACTTTTTAATGAGATCTGTTTAAAACATCGTAAATACTTCTAACAAAATATTTTTTGACTATAATTTGATTTTCGAAAAAGTGGATCATAATCTATCAAAGTTTCGTATTGATCGCTTTCTTAATTTTTCCCTCCCTCAGCTCGTTACTGATGACCTTTGTTGTTTACCTGTTCAAGGCCTGTTGACCCAAACAGGAAGTTGCCTAAATGACTGTTTTTTCCGGATTGGACTAAATATATAGCGATAAGGTGTATTGGAAGAACACAGTATTCATATGTTTATCCATTTTGATTCATTTTAAATGACAACAAATTTCAGTTTTAATTGTTTCCACACTATATCATTCTTGGTTTAGTTTCACTTTAAATGCCCCTTATCTATACTTTAATTGAAAACAAAATATAAATGTTATCCCGGCATTCCATAAATTTTTTAAGTCGAGCCAAAACAAATAAATTTCTGTATGTTAAGTTGGATTTTTGAATATACTTTTTTAGCAAATGATACTCAAATTCGTGCTTGAATGCGAAAACACAATCATTGCATTTGCAAATAAAAGAGTAGACTAATCTTACTGTTTGTATAAAAGAAAACAGTAAAACACTATTTTTTAAATAAATATTAAAATAATGTGTATGTTTCGAAGCATTGTTGTTGTTTTGTACTTTTAATAATGTTAAATAATAATTGGGGAAATCTGTCAATAAGTGTACAATACGATATACATGAGTATAATCGTCTACTTACTTGTTTATAGGTATTTCAAGTTATTTACAGGACGAATTATTTCAGTACTAAGGGCGATAATTACAATAAACTGCATATGGAGCGGCAGTTTAAAATTATCTGTTAAGCTTCTATTAAACTATATATGAGGAATTTGACAACGCTCTGTCTTTTTCTTTTGACATATTTTATCTTTTAAATATTCTGACCTATTTATATTAAATTTGTCTATGTTAAATTACATAAGAGGGGACACTGGAAAATGGCAGAGCATCTTGCCACTGGTAACACGAATGACCGAATGACACCGTTATTATCAGAATGACACTTGGAATGACCGAATGACACCTGAAATTTTAATATTAGCACATATTGGTGACTTTTAAACATAGATTAATAAATAATATTACATTATAAGTGTATTTTATAACTTAAAAATGATTTATAGAAGCAGGTAAGAGGGTGGGATTTATTCCAAAAAAATTAAAACTACTAAGATATCCTGCACAAGGTACGGGCTTACCTGTCGTCCGTGAAAACACTTTATTTAGAATTTATTGTAAAAAAGTTAAAACTACTGAGATATCCTGCACAAGGCCTGGGCTTACCTGACGTAGTCCGCGAAAACACTTTATTTAGGATTTATTGTTAAAAATATTTTCCTCCGGTTGTACCTGAAAACATGCGCAACAATACTAAACATGCATTATGTATCCAGTCTATAAAACAGCAATGGGAAACAGTAAAAGAAAATGCATTATATATTTATACCACAGGTAAAATTTTTTTTAATAAGATTGTATAAAACGTTGTCGAGAAAATATATTTGTGATTATATGTCGATTTTTTACAATGATTTAAAAATATTCATGAGTATGTTGACGAAGATGGGATATTATTGCCAATTACAACGCTTTTTCAAGTACGTTTTAATATATTTTGGTGAAATAATTTATAGATCTTTAGAAGACTTAAAGGTTCTACCACTGAAAAATATTTTAAAAGTAAAAATGGATAAATGTTCTTACGTGATATTGTTTTATGTTTTATAAACATCATATAAAACGTTTCCATAGAATGTTCTGATGATATGTTTTTATTTTTTTTTTTTTTTTTTTTTATTTTAACAACATTTTGTTTCAAATATTTGATGAACATATTTTTAAAAAGTTACGCCTTTGATTGAGAAAATGTATTTACAAATCATGTTTGTGTTAATATTTGAACAACATTTTTGCTATCGTAATTTTTTGTATTCTTGTCTTTTGTTTTTACTAATGTGCTTTGTCTATATGCCTTTTTCTTTTTCTTTGTTGATATATTTGTTTGTTTTCATAATGATTTAGATTTTAACACAATGTAGACTGCTGTACCCCTATTTTTGGCATTTTGACCTATTATGTCTGTTTGTTTTGTTCACACATCGTTGTCAATATAATGGAATTTTATGCGACTGTCATGCAAGTGAGAGGTTTAACAAGCTATAAAACCAGGTTTAATCAACCATTTTCTAAATAAGAATGCCCGTACCAAGTCAGGAATATGACAGTTGTTATCCATTCTTTTGATGTGTTTGAGCTTTTAATTTTGCCATTTAATTAGGGACTTTCCGTTTTGAATTTTCCTCGGAGTTCGATACTTCTTGTTATTTCACTTTCAACTTATGTTTTGAAAACATTTATGCCAAAAAAATAAATGAAAATGTCCTCTAGTAAATGTTCTACAACTAATCTTTCAGTGCTTTTAACTAGTTCAACTACTATCAAAGAACTTATCATTAACTTTTGTAATAAAATATATGAAAACAGTGGATTTAACTATTTTTGGAGTGTAAACAATTCTTTGGATGTTTTAGATAAATTACGTGCTTTTGATGGTCCTTTTGATTCTGTTGACAGTTTTGACTTTTCACTACATTTCCACACAATCTTATCAAACAAAAGTTTTCCTATTTAATTAAATGGTCGTTTGGTAAATCTGAATGCAAATATATTTGCTGAAACTCATTTAAAGCCTTCTTCTCTAATGAGAAAGGTAAATATACTACATTTAGATATACTTACTGGAGGTGTGATGAGATGATTGAAGCTGTTTCTTTTCTCCTTGATAATATTTATGTACTTTCCGGAAACAAAGTTTATCGACAGGTTGTAGGTTTTCCTATGGGCACTAATTGCGCCCCTTTGATAGCAGACTTGTTCTTGTACTGTTATGAATCACAGTTATGACCAAACTCAGTAAATACCCGTCTTAATTGCATTTAATTGATAAATTCAACAACACTTACCATTATCTTGATGATATTGTTTCGTTAAATAATCAAGAATTTTCTAAATATACTGCCGAAAATTTACCAAAAGGAACTTACTTTAAATAAATCAAATGTAAACGGTAATAACTGTACTTTCCTAGATTTAGATATTTCAGTTTTACAGGGGAAACTCCACGTTAAAATTTACGACAAAAAGGACGATTTTTCGTTCCCTATTGTTAATTTTCCTTTTTTGGATAGTGATGTTCCTTTGGCACCATCTTACGGTGTTTATATATCACAACTCGTTCGCTATGCCCGTGTCTGTTGTGATGTTTTGGATTTTAATGAACATATAATCTATGTATTACATTACTGGTAAATTATTAAGTCAGGGCTTTCGTTACCACACATTACTTAAATTTTACCTTTACTAAATTCTTCCCTAGATATAAAGATTTAGTTTTGAAGTTTGGTTGTATCTGTAGAAAACTTATTTCAAAGGGGATAGCACATCCTCATTTCTACGGAGATGTTGTTTACCGTACCCGGAAATTTAGAAACGATCCCGGTAAACTTATCGATCCTTTAAATAAAATTATTCTATAAGGTTACTAATTCCACGCTGTAATTAGATCTTTGAATATTGTTTTTATTGGTATAAGTATTGATTTTGTTATCAGTAAATTAAAAGCAAACTAAATATTTTTGTTATATACATATACACATTCATGGCTCCACAATCTGTCAATACCTGTATCTTGGCATTGCACAAGGTCATGTTTTTCTTTGACTGTTTATGACGTCTTTTCACTAAATCCATTGGATGTTGGATGTGTACTGATTGATAATTTTGTCTTAGATACATGATTCTCTTTATTAGTTTGTATTGGCTTTGAACTTGTTGTCAGTAACTGCGAGTTCTCTCAGATCTGTACTTAGTGTATTTTTGTTGTTGGGATGTACAAGTACCCGGCCACGTCCACTCTGTGTTTTTGTTAGATGTATTTCTTTTTGTATCCAACTGATGAGTTAAGCCTTTTTCAACTGTTTTTTTATAGTTTGTTCTTATGTTTTATTATAATAATAATATTAATAACAATAAATTCTTTATTTAAAGAGGGTAAACTCAGTTAGTTACAATAAACTAATCTTCCCTGAGGCCCTCATTACACCACTGTCCAGGTTAGGGGGAAATGTAGCCGTTTAGCCATTAAACAACATCAGCCTGGCATACAACAATCTACATACATGAGGAATATATAACCCTTATATTTGAGGAATATTTGTTTTTGTAATATTGGTACTCTACATTTACATCCTTGTTGAGAAAATTAAAGTTTTTTGTTGTTCCTTGCCTCAACTTATTTTCTTTTGGGGCACTATCATCATAATCATATTGATATATCCTTTAATTATGGGAGTGATTTAATTTAAAATTTATTATCCCATCTTCTGGATTAGGACTTTGACAACACCGACACGTGCATTTCTTCCTTTTTGAGCTATTTATTTCTTAGGTTGCTCGATTGACTACTTTTGATTTATTCTACTTTTGAGTTATCCCTCTTTGATAATCCCCATGTGTGACGTGAGAATATAAATATGGTCACTTTGGTATTCTTCCAAACTAAAGTCAATCCCTTGCCAAAGAGGGGAATCCGTTTGACTGTGCGGAATGTACAAGTCTGCAGCCAAGTCCGGTCAGAATTGGGACGAAGCCTTCTGTAAAGAAAGTACCACGCTCTCTTAAAGTTTAGAACCCACGCAACAACTCGTTGGTGGGTTCGTTTGTGGTCTGTTGCAAGGCAAAATGTCTGTCCTTATCCAAAATTCCCTTTATTTTCTAGTGTAAGTCAAAATTTCCCCATCTTCTTCCCGGACGCGCCTAGTGTACTTATGGTTAATTTGTTTTAGTCCTGAACATAAATGCACTATTTGCAACACGACGTTAAACAAATAACAATCAATCAATATTTAACTGTATTCATCTGAGTCTCTTCATTCATCAAATTAAATTATATAAGGAACCATACCGATTACACGTAATAGGTGTAAAGTATATGTTTTTATTTGACAAAATATCCCCAGCAATGAGTTTCGTGTCAGTGTGTGACCCTATTACACAGAACAACACACGTGGTTTAAAGAAAACGTTTAAATATTGAACATGTATTATTCATTAATCTTTATATAAGTCCGAGTACATAGTGTGTTCCTATTATGCATATCTATTATAAGTTGTCATATGATGGCATTGATGAAAATAAAAAAAAGTCAAATCCTAGCCAAATTTCGCTAAAATATGTAGCCTTATACGATACTCTGTTTGCTGTTAACCATTGTGGTTATGGACATACTTACATTTTAGATAAATATTTTAAGTAGCAACCATAGTTGTATATTTTATTTAAATTATCGAATTATTTTGTCTGGTGATGTTGAGCTAAATCATTGACCAAATTCAAAAAGTGATGTATCTTCTGTATCGTCAGTGTCCGATTGAATACTTGATGATATCAATGTGTTTATATGTGATTATACCTCGTTTGTTCATCTGAACGTTCAAAGCCTTGAACATAAATAAGATATTATCAATTCGGAACTGGGAAGAATTGATATTCTGCGGGTTAGAAACCATGGCTAAACACCATATTAATAACCAAGTCATACTCTTGGTTACTTCTTTATCCCCACTTAGAACGAAATGACCGTGTTGGGAAAAACGGTGGGATGTGGTCATTTATATGTTAAAGTTAATTTACATATTGTGGATAGACAAGATAAAGGTGTCAGGGTGATGAAGGTCTATGAG